TCCTAGTGTACCTCCATCCTCTGCCCATGTGTCCACTCTAATTTACAAAGATGGTCTGTTCTTTATGTAAATAAAATGTTTAAACCAGAGGTGGTCACGAGCAGCAGGTAGATATTCCTGTCTTCCCTGGAATCCAGCTGAAATGTCATCCCAGTCCTCAGAAAGGGACTTTGCTGGTACAATTCACTCTTACTGGACATAGTAAAGTGGAGAGTGAAGTCCTTTGCTGTTTTCTGCATCCCCCTATACCAGGCTGTTAATTGAAGTGCTACAAAGAACACAAGATTCCTTCCAAGACCAAAAATAAATGAGAGACTGTCTCTTCAAAGCACCACCTGGTGATCCCTGCAGTAATGATACGCTCACATGCATCAAGTATTTCTGTGATTTCTGTTCCGTTCAGGCTAAGAAAATATTCATGTTTTGGAGTTATAAATTATTACACAGAAAATTTTCTTAGGTTTTGAAATAATGGAAATTGTTGCATTTCACTAATAGCCTTCTAAAAATTAGATGATACTGAAAGCAATCTGGTAAATAACCGATTCATTCAGTTCATTGGCTTTGTTCACCTCTGCTCCAGATTTTATTCATACAAATCCTCTCCGCTTGTTGAAAACACCGTTGCTTGCAAGCGTGGTGGTGTTAGGTGGCCCTTCACTAGTAGCTTTGAAGATATACCAAGGTGTGTCATAGCAAGATCTGGTTCATTGTCACTTTTTTCTAAACCATCTACTAATGAGGTGATTTTTTGTTTTCCTTGTTTACATGAAGCACGGTTTTAGACTAGACTCTTCAGGCACATGCCTTGCTTCTGTCAAAATGCTGCCAGTAATTTCAGTTGAATAGGATGGAGCCATGCATGGGAAATGCTTCAAAACAAAGCTGATGGATGGATCTGGCATAAGCTTTGTTTTGTACTTCTGTTCTTGGATCCGAGAGTTAAGAAAAATCTCTTTAATTTCTTGTTCGATGAATACAGTAGATGTAATATTCTTCTCAAGCAGGCTTTTTGTTGTGAGGATGTGAATGACATCGGGGCTTTTTGCCCCGAGTGCAGTGTTTAAGCTGTCAATAAATAAAAAAAATCACAGTAGGCATTTGGAATGTCTTCTTGCGTAACTCAGGGAAGGAATTGCACCTGCCGTCATGCTTTGGTTCATGCTGGATCTTCTCTTTGTTTTCCATGAAAGTAATCTTGCCCTGTGTAGTCTGAAGAAGAAAAATCAGAGGAAAACCTTAATTTAAAAATATTAAAAAGGCAGAAAGCTGTGAGAAATATGTTCCAGACGGAACTGCATGTGACATTGCTAGAAGTGTCCCCTCAGGACCAGCTTTTCTCCCATCCCAGAAAATGCTCAAATCCACTCCACAGAGATGGAAACCACTGGTAGTCTGACAACTTTTTCTTCTGTTTTTTGGGGGGCTTTTTTAGCCTATAATGGAACTGATAGAATTGCTTATATTGCCCAATGAGTTTCTAAACTAGTTTCAGTTGCATAGTTGCATTTGGGCGGGAGTGTTGATCTGCTCGAGGGTAGGAAGGCTCTGCAGAGGGACCTGGACAGGCTGGATCGATGGGCCGAGGCCAACTGTATGAGGTTCAACAAGGCCAAGTGCCGGGTCCTGCACTTCAGCC